AGAATAACACTGAAAGCTTTATTAGGGATTCAGAATGGATTTTTATTAAACTCACTCACAGGGATTTGAAGATGGGATTTTGGGTGAATCAACCATTGTGATGCATACTGCTGCCTGCAAGAGAGGGTAAGGGTATTATATGTATATAACAGCTAGTAGCTAATAACATGAAAAAGCAGTCTTTTCCAATGAGATAAAACAAAAATACTGAAAAGAAGAAACTTGTGCCAAGGACTTGCAGTCTTATGACACAAGGTAAAGCAATAAAATGCTAAAACAATATTTAAAGACCTTGACCACCCAAAAGAGATACTTCAGTTATAGGTGGAGTCTGATAGGCTGGGCCTTCTGCTGGTGTTTAACCACTTCAAGTCCGGACACTTTCACCCCCTTCCAGTCCAGGCCAATTTTCAGCCTTCAGTGCTATCACACTTTGAATGACAATTGCGCGGTTATGCAAAACTGTACCCTATGAATTTTTTAGCATCTTTTTGAGAGAAATACAACTTTATTTTGATGGTATTTATTCACCACTGGGATTTTTATTTTCTTGCTATATAAATGAAAAAGTCCAACAATTTAGAAAAAAAGAGTTTTTCTTATAAAATTTTGCAAATAAATAATCTTTCTTCACTTTCTTCATAAATCTTGGTCAACATGTATTCATCTATCTTTTTAGTAAAAAAACAAAAAACTCAAATTAATTTATAACCAAAAATTATAATTTAAAAAAAATGTTTTTACATTTTTATTTTATTATTTATGTGGGTTTTTTTTAAGATACTGTCACCCTAGCAGTACAGTGTCACCATAGTGACACTGTACTACTTGTGGGGGGTGATGAAGATTTTTTTCTTTTTTTACACTGATTGCTTTGACACCCATAAAGGCTGTAAAAGCAATTGTTTCTCCTTCTCTCTGGCTGCATTCCTGCAGCCATTGAGAAATACTGTGCGAGCTGTGATTGGTCACAGCTTGTCACATGGTACAAGGCTGTTGTGAATAGCCTTGTACCATGTGACCTCTGTGATCATTCTCAGATATCACAAGTAGTAAGCAATGATGTCAGGAAGTGACACTTTGTTTACTACTGTTCACGTGATCACTGATTGGCCAATCAGTGATCACATGAATTGGGACCTCACACAGAGGTCTCGTACAGTGATTTGTGTCTGGAGGACACAGCGGGCACTGATCGCGGTGCCGCGAGCTCCAAGGGAGCGCACACAGGCAGTGGATGTGGGGGGACGTTTAGAAACGTCCACCTGCATTGGCAGCACTCCCTTCTGGCCGTTTATCGACAAGGGACGGATGGGATAGAGGTTAAAATGGTTGTAAAGGCAGAAGGTTTTTTACCTTCATGCATTCTATACATGAAGGTAAAAAACCTTTGGTGTGCTGCTCTCTCTTACAGCCCCCCTAATACTCACCTGAGCTTCCTCTTGATCCAGCAATGTACAAGGGAGCCTTGTCTGTCTCGGGTCTCTCTCCCCTCTTTGGCTAAGACACAGCAGCGGGAGCCATTGGCTCCCATTGCTGTGAATCACAGTCAGTGATAATATAAGGAGAGAGTGGGAGCAGGGCCGAGTGTTTTATGCAAGCATGGAGTGGGGGCTCGGGAGTGAGCATGCACCAGTTCCCCTATAGCAAGTGTTTTCCTATTGTGGCACACAAAGAAGACAAGCCAGGAGCACCCAAGAAGAAGAGGGTCGGGACTGCTCTGTGCAAAACCATTGCACAGAGCAGGTAAGTATGCCATAATGATTATTAAAAAAAAACAGCAACAGACTTTTACTATCACTTTAATATAATGTGTGGACATCAGTGGCAAATTATTTTCATATTTATCGTGCAATGTTTCCTTTTCACATGGAAAGTGGTTCTATATTCAAAGCGTTTTTTACCTGCATGCATTCCCTGCATTAAGGTAACAAAAAGCCTCACTACCTGTTCTAACCACCCCCATCTCTAACCACCTGGCTCCTGTCACTGCTCCAGTAGTGTTTCATCAGCAGCACCGCTCCCCTCACTTCCTGGTCTCACATAGGCTCTTGCTGCTGTCAGTCAAACTCCTGTGAGGAGGGAGCAGGGGCATGATGTCTATGGACACACAAAGTCTGGCTTGGGAGTGCTCATGCACAGATACCTCCTTAGCAGGAGCGAACAGCTCCGGTTGGGAACTTTCAAAAGAGGAGGTAAGGAACATTTCTGTGGAACATTGTTGCACAGGTCAGGTAAGCATAAAATCTTTTTTATTTAAAAAAAAAGAAATCTATCCTTTAGTTACAGTTTTGGGTTACACTCATAGGGGCAAAGTGAAAAAGTATCTTCCTCGCCTAACCTCCCACTCAGTAGTCCTCTTATATTCACCTTTTGTGCACTTCCCTGATGCTCCTTTCCTTTGAAGCAGCTGTTGCAAAGTAGCCTTAGTTTCTGGGTAGGAGGGAGCATGTAACCTCCTCTAAGAATGCAGCGCTCAGGTCTGAGCATCCAATCACCAGGTCTGAATACTGTCACCCTGAGAAATAGGATGAAGTAATCAAACTTTGTGCATTTTTTTAAATACAGTTCTCACCCTTTCATCTATTTTTGCAGTTCAGTGTTGTGGATCTCCTGCAACCTTCTTGCTGTCACTTCCTGCCTTCGTGCATGCACTCTAGCAATGGCTGTTTTCATTTGGTCACAATGATGAACCATCCCTGTACAGTGAGTGTTGACAAAACTACTTGTAGTCTCTACAAGGGGCGGACTGACCATTTGGAAAGTCGGGCACTGCCTGAGGGCCCTATGAGATGCCCCTGGTACCTTTTTCATAGGCTTTTTTGAGTTTGGGCAAGGACACAGGGGTCCCATGATCCCCTATTGCCCGGGGGCCCCATGATTTGTCAGTCCGCCCCTGGTCTCCACTGGAAGGTTAAAGGAGACAGGAGGGCAACACATTGGAGCAATTGGAAAACAGGGTAGAATGTTTAAGATAAATGTACAAGAAAACAGGTGTTCACACTGTTTAGCTCCTTTGTTGTAGTTCATTAACAGCTCAAGATGTACAAACAGTCCATCATCAATATGAAAAAAATGTATGACTAAGTCTTTGCATTTCTTTAACTCAATGCACTGTTTAATTGGGCAACTATGTGGCAAATGTTGTTTAATGTTGATAAATGTAAGGTTATGCATTTGGGGGCTAAGAATATGCATGTATCATACATACTAGGGGGGTACAACTGGGGCAATCAATGGTGGAGAAGGATCTGGGAGTTCTGGTTGATCACAAGCTTAATATTGGCATGCAAAATCCTCTCTTGTATTAAAAGAGGTACAGACTCCAGAGAGAGAGATATCATTTACCCCTGTACAAATCATTAGTATGACCTCATCTGGAATATGCAGTTCAGTTTTGGGCACCAATTCACACAAAGAACATTGGGGAACTGGAGAAAGTACAGAGAAGGGCAACCATACTGATAAGAGGCATAGAGGAGATCAGCTATGAGGAAAGATTAGAGGAACTGAATGTATTCTCTCTTGAGAAGAGGAGATTAAGGGGGGATATGATCAACATGTATAAATACATCAGTGGTTCATATAGTGAACTCGGTGTAGAGTTATTCACCCTGAGGTCATCACAGAGGACAAGGGGGCACTCTTTACATCTGGAGGAAAAGAAATGTAATCTCCATACATGGAAAGGTTTCTTCACAGTGAGAGCTGTGAAAATGTGGAATAGACTCCCTCAAGAGTTGGTTCTGGCCATCTCAGTAGATTGCTTTATAAAAGGCCTGGATTCTTTCTTAGATACACAGAATATAACTGGATACTAACATTTATAGGTAAAGTTGATCCAGGGAATATCTGATTGCCTCTCGGGTATCAGGAGGGAATTTTTTTCCCTGCAGGAGCAAATTGGATCATGCTTTGCTTGTTTTTTTTTGCCTTCCTCTGGATCAACTGTGGGTATAGGATTATAACTTTTTTTTTTTAATTGTTGAACTGGAAAAAGCATTGAACAGCCAAAGGACTAGTCACCAGCAATGTCTGCAGTCCCACTTCAGCTGATCTTTTTTTTGACTTACTATGCCTTATTCTACACTGTGTCACTGTGTAGAGGTGGCAAACTTGGTAAAGCAGGACTTTGCTTCTCCTTGCCAGAGTCTCCAGCAATGAGAACAGTAAGCAGCACATTAGTGGCACCAGCAATTCAACAGTATTATTGTAGGCCATATTACCCTGCCTATGCTCTTCAGACATTTGCTTGCTTGTAGATAACATCCTTGGTTATCCAGCAACCAAGACACCTGCTGTAGCACAATAGGACAGTGTTGCATTGTGGATTAATGCTGCCTATTCTTATATGGGGCAGCACCAATACCCATAATGGACTTTTGGAGGAGACACTGCATGTTATAAACAAAAACTAAAACAAAAACAACCTGCGCCACAAGAACTATGTGAAAAATTTTAAAGTGAATGCTGCTGTGCCTTGATAAGAATCAAAAAGATTTGATAAAAATAAAAAAATCTGTGAAACAATAAAACAGCGCAAAACATGAAACTAAACAAAAATAATTATACACAAATCATAATAAATTCTGTGGTTATAAAATAAATGTCCAAAACCACCAAAATGAAAAAATATAAAATTTATGTCCAAATACAAAAAGTGATGAAATCAAAAGCAAAGAAAGTCCCCTTTAAACATGCAAATAGTGCTCCAATTTTAGGATAAGTGTAATACAGAGAAAAGACTCCACGGATCCACACCTTCCTGTGAATACTGATGTATTCCGCACTCATCAGAGATAAGAATAAATTGCACTTTATGGATACAATATTATCCTCCAATTCCCAGGGAAAATTTCCTCTCCATAGCCTCTTCCATATACAAGAGCTTCCTTACATCCAACTTCAAAAGGGATTTCCCCTCAAGGAGAACCAATAGTGCAATATTGCAAAGGCTTTTAACCTCCCTGGCGGTATTCCAGAGTGTAGCTCGGGGTAAAATTTCAGTACCACAAGCTGCAACCCCAAGCTACACTCGGGCTTACCATGCGGCATTGCTCAGGGATTCCCTGCAGCGCTTACCTTGTCCTTTGCTCCCGCAATGTGTCCCCTGCAGCGTCCCCGGCCATCTCCTCTCTACGATGCTTGCATCCGGCTTCCGTGTTCCGGTCCCTGCGAGTGTCGGGATGTACGGGGGCCAGAACCGGCGGCAAATTTAAAAATTTTAGAAACTGTCATTTTCTAATAATCAAAAATGACATAGTAAAACATTACTGTTTCAAACCATTTCACATACTTTTTGTCCATAGTGCTTTGTCCTGTGCCCTGCCTGCATTTGTACTGTTCTTTCTGCCTGGAAACTGAGAAACGTCCATGGCGTCCAAAAAGCGTCACTTTAGGTCAAAAGCGGTTTTAAACCAGCTAGAGAACAGCGATAGTAAATCAGAAACCACTTGCAGAATTGAGTGATAATGATTCGTGGGGAAATTCGTCATCAGACACTGAAAACAATTTTGCGACTTTGCTCAGTGACTTGGCCCTATATTTCAAATTTCAGTGTTTTTGGTTTGATTATATTATTGAATTAAATTTATTATTATTATATTATTATTTTTTATGATTATTTATTAAATTATAATTTATGACTTCGTGTTTCAAATTTTATCCTACCCAGGATGTTTACTAGACTCTTGTTCGGACAGGTTTCAGTGAGTTATTCCTAAAAATTACAGGCCTACAATATAAAACGCCAAATTTCCATGCAAAATAATGGTACCGCTTTCAGCACCAAAAAATCTGAAATAATCATACCGCCAGGGAGGTTAATTGAATAAAATAGTGCTTAATCTACTCACATTATAACTTAAAATAAGTCGCCAATTGACAAAATCCTCCAGAACAGACTTCCTAGTGTAAAACGGATTCCAGAAAATAAACCAAACTGGCAGCATGTTTTAAAGAGGCTAGTACCAAGTCTACAGACCTACTGCTGAATACATGTGGTAACTGGACCCAGAAAGCTGATCTTATTCACACCCTTTAAGGGTTGTGGAGGGTCTCCCATTCTGGCTGGAGGCAGTGCTTGGGGAGCTGTTTAGCACTTATGCTTTGTAATTGCATGTTTGCTGGACAGATATCATCTGTCTGCAGTTAACTTGGATTTTTGTAGTTGTATTGCTTGTACAGAGATTTTGTGGACAGTAATTCTGCCACTCTTCAAATTCTAGTGTTTTGGCTTTATTAATATCAAACTATTAGAATGCCACCTCAGGCTTCATCATCATCTTCTCTGTATCACACCAAATTAAAAATTACATTTATGTTATGATGCAGTGGCATGTGTAGCACTGGATGAAATTGACGAGATGACCCTAAGACTGGTGGTTTTTATGGATATCCCATTTTTGGTGTGGTTTCAGTTTTGTATTGGCCAATACAGTTGACCTTCACAGAACGTTCTGCGTGCCCTGTTCACTATCCAGGCAGGTGATCCATGAATGATTCATGAAAAGGATGGAAGATCCTCTACAGCAAGTCCTAGGTATTTTCTATAGGCTGTGTCCACTTTTTTGCTGAAAGTAGTAAAATTCTTTCATTATTTACAGACATTTATTTCATTCTAAGGTGAATTATGATTAAGATTCTTCACTCCTTTAGTCTCATAATGTTGCATGGTCTGCTGTTGTTGCTGTTAGGAAACCTGCTCTACCATGCAGTCTTTGCTGGAGTGCACACATGTAGAAGTGAAATACTAAAAGACTGCAGTACTCAGAAGCAAAAAATGTGAACGCAGGTATTTTATTTAACAAAATTGCAGCAGTTTTTAATATGCAGTTCTTTTAACAAACTAGGTGTCCTTAATTTAGGGTTAATATCCACTTTAGTTCATTGCAACCTTATTTCATATAACTGTGTTCCTGCAATGGTATGTTCCCTGTAGCGAGTAAAATACACAAAAGCCTCAATTAATTTATCAAGCTGAAAAACACAAGCAGACTGCTGTGTACGTTCAGTTATTTGGTCTTTCCACATATGAAAATATTCTGTATCCCACTAAAATAGTTCATAGTCAAAGCCTAAACTAAAGAGAAACATCCAACAAAATCTGGCTGGTGACTTGAGAAAGTTGTGATTATTTATAGAGAAGAAACACTCAGGGTTCTGACTTCTTCCAATATAGAACATGCCACAAAATCTTTTCCAGCAGAAGTCTGGAAAGAGCTTGTTAGAGAATAAGACAGCTGACTGGTACTGTCACACATATGATGTATCAACTTAATCCGTTCCTAGGAATTAGTTACCCACACTTAAACAAGAAGTGAAAACAGATTGTATCTGACAGTGGACAGCAGTGCTCCGTGTGCATATTTCTTACTTCTCAGAAATGTCGTGAAGGGAGAGATTTATGCAAAATAGCTTTAAAGTATCAACAGATATTTTATTTATAAGCACGTGGAAAATAAAATGATATGCTTCTTTCTTGGCCACAAAAAGGTATGGAATGTGCTGCCTTTTTCAAAAGAAGTTCTTTTTTTTAACCAAGTAGCTATCAATGATAGAATGGAGGGAATTAATAAAAAGTATCTGAGATGAGTTTTGTGTCAACTGGTGTCATTGCCCATAGCCACCATTCAGCTTCTAGCTTTCATTTTTTCCCACACAGCTTAGAAAATGAAAATTTAATAGCTTACATGGCAGGCAGCCCAAACTGCCATAGCAGCACATACTCTACCACAACATTAAATAATGTGCACAGGCTACATGACATTAATGAAATGCAACAGGCAGTTAGAGGAAATCTCCTAAAGTGAGGGGAACCGCCCTGTAAAGCCTCACACACACAATGAGAATATTGTGTGATTGATTGCCTGTTTTTTTTTTTGCATGCTAGTCTCATATCGAAAACCAATAGGTTACTAAAGTTTCGAAAATTCTCGTACTAGAGAACACAACTGATGCAATGTGTTGTATTGCATTGTAATGTATTCTTTTGTTTCCAAGCATGCGTGGTCTTGGTCTTCTGATTTTTTTCGAATGTATACTGTACTGATTAAACGAAAATCGTTCTTTCTGGTATCATACAAGAAAATTTTTCATGTATGTCCCTTCAGATAATTTTGCATGAACTGAAGTGATTGGCTCTCAAAAGCTGTGTACTAATGATCAGATAATCATACAATCACTTCAAAAGTGGTATTTTTTGTTTGATTTTCTGATCATGTATACTAGGAATTAGACAGCTAGCACCAAACAGGTGTCTCCATTTTTCCCTTTACTTTATGTTCTGGTGACAACTCAAAAATTTTGGATTTCCCCTCACTTTCTTTCTGCATGATAATGGTCACCAGTATAAACTTTGGGGTGAATCATCCCAACAGAGACAGACACAGCAATATCAACTTGACAGAGGGCCTAACACTCCCATGTTCCATTCAAAACCTCAAAATGGTCAACCTAGACTTTAAAAAATAAATAAAAAACTCAATACAAGGGGTATTACTTACCTTCAATGTGATGTGTCCCTTGTGCTGCTGTGTTCTGGTCTAGCAGAAATCTTCATCCTCCATTGTCCCCAGCTGAACTGCCATAATCTCTTGATATGGTGGGGGTTAATAGAACATTCCCTGAGGTACACCACTGAGTGATTATGGGTGGGACCATGTCCCAGCCATTGAATATGTTTATTTTATTGAAAGTTTCCCAAACCCACCATGTTAAAAATGCCTCCTTATGCTGACAAGATTGTTTGCTAACAAGTTATGTTTTGAGTAAAACTGTTCAAAACACAATCTGGACCTGAATGAATGTTCTGTGTCTGTAAAGTACTGGGATGAAGAGTCAGTGAGTCTAATGAAGTAAAGCTTTTGGGTCTTCTAGTAGCTGAAGTGGACCAAATCATTGGGGCTGCAGCAATCCACTTGCCTGGTGGAGTATCAGCTCCTTGTACAATGCCTGGAGCTACTGGGAATAGAGATTTCTCTTGAGTCAAGGAGTCACTCCTCTGAGGCTAAACTGTGTAATGGTGAGCTACAGAAATGGTATGGCTTATTAGACGAACCCACTGGAAGAGGCAGTTGTAGCTCTGAAATACCACTCACTAAGGAAAACTTGGCTTTAAAAATGTGCTACATGTGAGTTGTAGTCCACCCTGCATATATACTAGGTAAAATAACATTCTTATGATTTTTTTCTTCATTGTTCTGTTTCTTGCTATCCATGTGTAACATTAAGCCAAGCCATTTTTAGCTTTTAAAGTACTACTGATACCTAATAGGACTGGTTATGATGATTCAATGGAGGGTGAATAGAGAAATATTGGTAAGTCTGTTTGGTATCATAGATAGGTTAAAAAAGCTTGATCTAGAGCACAGGTGTCAAACTGGCAGCCCTCCAGCTGTTGCCAAACTACAAGTCCCATGAGGCATTGCAAGAATGACAGTTACAAGCATGACTCCAAAGGTAGAGGCATGATGGGACTTGTAGTTTTGCAACAGCTGGAGGGCCTCCAGATTGACACCCCTGATCTAGAGTGTAGTCAGCTGGAGGAAAGGTTTGGTCCATATGCAGGCTAGCCAGACCCTGGGGAGAATGGCACAAGATTCCTTCCACTGTTTAAGGCCCGCAAAAAAAACTCATGTCTAATGTATACTCCACTAATGGAAATTAAAGGCAGTTGTTCCCAGTTCAATACTGGATACGGAGACAGTAAATGTTTTTAATAGAACAGTTCCCAGACTAACTGTTTTAAGTCACCCAATTTTCCACTACATAATGTTAGAAACTTTTTTAGCTGTCTTTATTTTTAGCAAGATATATAAATGTTGGACAGGCTAGTATTCACAGTATGCTTATGCATTTCAAACCCTAAGCATGCATCAATCATTGAGCCCTGTACTGGCCGTGTGTCTGCAGAAGCTTTAAGACTGAAAAAACACCTCTTGACATTCAAGCAACTTTTTGATTGTGTGTGCCACCTGTTCATTTGCCTCTGAGTCGACCTTCAAAGTCTTGTATAATAAAAGATTAAGGTTTGGGATATTCCTTTTTATCTTATGTCAACCTAAGGAAATTTATTTGGCTCTCCATCCACCCAAAATCCTTTTTATTTCCCTTTGCAAGTACAGAAAGAAAAAAAATGTTAATGTGCCAAGCTAGAATGCTGTAGCCAAACAAGCTTAAGAAATGGTATGTGGCCAAAACAGAAACCTCAAAACACATGTACGATCCGGAATCACGGCTTGTATAACACACTCTGTGCACAGACATCTCCCTGGCAGCACACAGAAGAAGCCAGTCCAAGCTGTTTGCTCTGAGAGGGCGGGGTGCCAGTATAAAGATGCTGAAAAGATTAA